CATGTTTCCGGGCCAACACAACGGGGCTACTCCAGGGACTTTGGGACTGTTCAACCCTACCATTAGCTACGAGCTCATCCAGCTGTTGGTCAATGATTTCTCTTTGGTGAGGGGGAATACGGCGCGGTGGTTGCTTAATTGGTGTACAATCACCCGTATTAATTTCATGTTCCATGAGATCAGATTTCCCTAAATCCGAACTGTTCATAGCAAAAATGTCCTCATACTCTTTCACCAGAGACGAGAATTGTTCCTTTTGACCTTCTGAAAGCCCTTCCAGGTTTTGTTGTTCACAGATTGTCCTCCACTTTTCTCCCTCTCCTTTTGTCTGCTCACTCTTCCCCACTGTGCTGTCAATGGTCGAACAGAATGCATGTGGCCGAGAGGTACTTTTCGATTCTGAGTCAACTCCAATGGGAATTATACTACCATTCACGCTGCTAATAGGGTGATATTCGGCAATAGGAACATCTGACCGTATCTTGATTGGTCTATCCGAGAAGTTGGCAACTCGAACAAGGGCCTGTCCCGCCCTTGGAACCACAAGGGAACGAGCTATGCAAATTTCCGATTTTCCCTTTAGTTCCTTTGAGCCCTCCAAGATCCCAGGGCTTCCCGTATTTTGTTCATATCCCTCTTCCAATCTAGCTCCTAGCACTTGTTCAGTCCCCGGCTCTACTTCTACTTCAGCACACAGATAAAGTCTACAAACACTAGGTGTGACCTTGCAGTATCTAATAGGAATTTCAGCATCTCCTACCACAAAGGTTCCCGTGTCATAGTGAATTTGACATCCATACTGCTGAAAAAAGTCTGAACCAAGAATACAATCATGTGCTAGACCTTGCGCAATCATGACAGGCCAGGAGCAATCCATGTTTCCTATGCGAAATCTCACTTGGGTTTCTCCTAAGACAGTCAGTTCATTGCCATTTGCTGTCGTTAATGTTCCTATCACTGGTTTAAGTTTAGAAACATATCCACTTTTCTTCCATGTGTCCTCGCTCAACACACTAACCGTAGCGCCAGTGTCCAACAATACACAAGTTAAACAATGATTCACAAGTCCAGTAATATAGATCCCGGAATCAGATATGGCTGAAATTACACTGTCATTCGCGGTTGTATTGTAATTTACCTCACGGACATCACTGTCTGACAGGGCCACACGTACCGGTCCTACGGGGACTGTCTGGCCCTTGGCAGGCCCCGAGCTCCGTTTCCCGTTGTATTAGTCGGACAATCACGTGCAAAATGACCCTGTTTACGACAATTGTAACACACTACTTCGTTTCGGCGCCGTGGGGCTGTCACGGTTTTTGCTTCCGTTTTCATTTCCAGCTCACGAATTTTCTCATTCATGCCAAGAACTAATTCCTTGAGCTCGCGTATTTCAGATGAAATCTTCTCACTATCAGCCGAGGCACCAATCACATTAACAGATTTCTTCTTCTCAACCGCAGGAGCTGCGCGACAAGCCTTACGAGCACTTTCCAACTGGCGAACCACACGCACAGCTTCCACGAGCGAACTCGGCTGGCTCATAAAAACTCTCTCACGAATGTCATCACTAATTGCTACACCTTGAAGAAACTGGTCCCTTGCCAGTTCCACTTTAAACGAATAGGCCGCCTCTGGGTACGCATTTTCGACCAATTCCATCAAGCTATCCGCAAATCCATCGAAATCTTCATTTGGCTTTTGGCATCGTGCCCGCAACTGCAATTTGTAATCTTCTTTCGTCTTCCCCGAATCAAATCTTCGAGTCAACTGATCAGTAAATTCTTCGAACGGTAGCGATTCCGAGAGCTTGAGCAGCTCAACAGCTTTGTAGGCCGGTTGGTCCAATAATGTAAGCAAATACGCTCGACGATCCACCGGTTTGATGTGCACGAGACTTGCGTATTGCATGAACTGCGAGAGCCACGTTTTGAAATTTTGGCCCACCGAATAAACGCGTGGAGCTCTTACGTTCCTCCTAACTTCGCTTTGTTCGCTTGACGCCACCATACTCTGCTTTAGAGCTTGAGACAGGGTATTTACGAGCTGCTGCAGGTCACTGCCCCCTTCGTGTGGCTCTACTTTCGGTGGTTTCTTCTTTTGTTGTTGTTTCAGCACGGGTTCTGTCGATTCAAGTTTCGGTAACCCTCCTTCGGCGCCTGCGGACATTTCATCTAGTTTCGGTAACCCGCCTTCGGCTCCTGCTGGAGTTCCATCTTCTTCCATCTTTATATCCCAGTTCGCTGCCACCAATGTAATAAATCAAGGCAAGAGCCGTCGTAATAGTCTCGACCGTGTTTACTCAAACTTTACTCTTTTTTGACCACGAGGTCCTAGCCCTAGTTTTACATCATGTAATACGACACGAAATGTCCTCTACTCTACATAGTTTTATTATTTTGGCTGGGCGCGCTCGAATTTAAAATACTGAAATTTCTATATTTCTGTTGCCTTAATATTTTCCTCGGCAATTTCCCCCGATTTTCAGTACACAAATCTTTAAAAACAAAAGCAAACAGCCAACGAGATAGGACACCAGTTTTCCTGGTTTATTTTTTACAAAAAGCGAAGGCAAACAACCAGTCTGTTAACACTGAAAATTCCAATTCCTTGAACAGCGATGCGATAATTTTCGTCTAATACGTCACAGTTGGCGATTGAGGTTTCTTTCGCAGTGAGCCTCCGCTTGCGTACCCCGTTCAGAGAAGTCATTCCCGGCTAAACTTTCAAATGAAACCAGTTTTAAGATGGACGGTATTTTGATTTGCACCCGTTTGTTGGTAAATCAAAAGGCACCTTGTTAGCGGTCAACAACTTGCAGAGGGATTCAACTCCGCGATACACTCACTTTCCGTAAATAAAGCAAATCCTGAGAAGATATAAACAACCATATGAATTTTCTGAATTTCCATGGCACATATTAAGGCGTATTTTCCTACCATAAGACCATAAAACAATAAAAAAGACAGCAAACTCGATCCTTCTTTCCGCCGACGACGAATCATTCACGAAAACAACCACGCGAAGAATAATCGCTGTCAACTTCCGGCGTTTCCGACCGCCAATCAGATCTTGTGGCATTGTTCTAACAGCCAATCAGCGTTACGGCCAAAATCTGGCCGTAGCGAGCACAAACGTGAGAAAGTTTGTATCAGGCCCAATGTCAGCGGTAGCCATTAGAGAGAATGTATGAGAACCGCTCAGATTGAGCCTGATCTCAGGTTAGTATGCCACTGTAAATGAAACATAGAAATAAAAATGATCAAAAAAATATAAAAGCTATTTACAATTAAAATCAAGTTATCATACGTAAAATACCAACAAAAATTATTTACAAAATAGATTAAAAAGGCGATTCTTCGATACTAAAATAATGACTCAATTTCTAACAGTTTTTTGAAACTTTTAAAATTGGACGAAGCTCTTGCGACATTAGGCAAGCTCCTCCAGATCTTAGGCGCCTGATACCGCCAGGAATTGAGTCCAAAGCGTGTTGTGTTGACCTTTGGCACTTTCAAAAATGTTCTTTCCTCTCAAGGTACATGTTGTTTCCCGTAATGAAATCAAGAGCTTCAATCCCGCAACGAAAGTCTAAGAGAAGAGGCCAGAACTCTCAGTGACGAAAGTAAAAGTTTTATGATAGTGATTAGACTTCTAAATAATCAGGCTGCAACGAAGGAAGACGGGAAATTTTTTTCAAGGAATGTTGACCATGGCAGTTCTGGTAATTTGCATATTAATCAGCAAGGTAAGGGTATTGGTCAATGTCAAAAGAAACCAAATACAGTCACGCAACAACGAAAAGCTACTGAAACTGGGAAGAAATCTGAACTTCCTAAACACTCCAAGCAACAAACAAGGGCAATGCCTGTCGGAAGAACTGCAGAAGCCACATCATTCCCGACTAAGTCTGAGAATGACCGGATCACAGTAGTTGTAGGTGACTCCATCATTAAAAATTTGCAAGGGAGAAAGCTGGCCAAGGCTGTGGGGCATCGGTAGTTGTGACGGCTTTTCCTGTAGCCTGAGATCATGCCCTCTCCCTATTATCCCTTATGTCTCTCACGGGAAGAGGGCATGATACATTTCTTTGTCGGATCACATGTAAAAAAGCCAGAATCTGGACTTTTTTCTGATCGGAAAGGAAACAATACGGATGATTTGCGCTGTTCCGATTGGCCAAAATGCCACCATCCGTTAGTTGTTGTTGATTTCAGTCTGCATTTTTGCTTGCGTAATGAGCAGTGAATACACACGCGAGTTCGTTATAAAATTCCTGCCGGCTCAGTTTTCTTGAATTTGAACAATCCCTAAATAGAAGTTTCATCCATTGTAATATTTTCCATCTCATCGTATACTAAAAAGTTGCAGTCAAAACTTCACCGATCATTTGAATGCAATTCGATGCCGGCTACAAGTTACAGAAGCGACAAACGGGTTCACTTTTCAAATAACCAATTCATGAATGGAATCTTGACGTGGTTTGACTGTAATTCGTCCTTCAGAAATCTGCGAATTATTCTGAGCGATCTTCGCTTTCACCACACCTTTCAGTTCGTGAAATATGGTGCTCCAGCCTAATTTCTTTTTTTCACTGCTTTTGGCTCAGAACGAAGTCACCGAGCTTTAACCTGTAAATTCTTTATTACTTGTAGCTGTTAAATAAAGGTACGGCAGGCCCAGCTAGCAGTATTTCATCACAAAAACAACACATTTAATTTTTTTTAGGAATCGAAGCGCCCTCTGAACATGGACGTACTTAAAAATTTTCTTTTCCCTAAAATTGAAAAAAGAGACATTATAAGCGCCAAAATTTGATTCCTGTATGGTATGCAGACGTTAGATTATGTAAATTAGGGGGCGGTTGACGGCTTGTTAAATGAATGTATCAGGCGTTATTTTTTTCCCTCTCGAGCCAAAGAAGCAAAGAAGCACAAAAAATAAAAATAAAAAATAACGCCTGATCTCAGGTTACTTTTCCTGGGGCAACCATACACGATATGAAGTCCCACATAATTCCAACGGTTGAAAGATGTCCTGACCAAACTTACCTGTATATTGGTACGAATCACCTGAAATCCAAAGAACCTAATGTGGTTGCAGATGCAATTGTAGATCTAGCGAGAGAGATTGAGAATTTCTGTGACGCCGAAATTGTTTTATCCGAAATAACAACTCGGAATGATGCGCACGGCGATGTGAAAGCTGTAACCGTCGACTGAAGCAGTTCTCTAGGCAAAACGGATGGAAACTAATAAGTCACGCTAACATTACCCAGAACGGACTAAACAAAGGCGGTTTACATCTGAATAGAGAAGGTAACGACTCATTACATAGAAATTTCGTAAATTTTTTAAGGAATAATAATTGATCTCCTGGTTCCTTGAATGCCGAATCTCCTGTATCTGTAAAGCCGCTGTATGTTTCTCGGAGCAATACTAGTTATGACTTGAGTAATATAAGCAAAACAGCGGCTTCTAAATCCTCTTGTCTGCCGAATTCGCTACCCGCAAATCGCGCATTTAAAATAGCGTCCTTAAATGTAAACAGTCTAATAAAACATACTGATGATCTCAGAAGTTTTCTTGCTGATAATCCAGTCGATGTCCTTGCAATTAATGAATCCAAACTTGACGATTCTATCAAAAATTGCGAGCTCTACATCCCTGGCTACGAAACTACTCGTAGAGACAGAAACAGGAATGGTGGCCGTGTATGCTTTTACATTAAAACTTCTATTAACTTTGTAATACGCCGTGACTTGAACCTGAATGATCTTGAGAATTTATGTTTAGAAATTAAAAAACCATGCTTTTCCATTCCTCTTAGTAACTTGGTATAGGCCACCTTGCTCTTCAACTGAACTTTTCTCACACTATGAGACCCTTGTCGGAAAATTAGACTCCCTCGATCTTAAATACTATCTGATGGGTGACTTGAATTGCAATATGGCCTCTGCCCATTTCCACACTAATACACGTTTACTTTGTGAGTAGTATAGGGCGCACCGGTTACTCCTCTTTTTTGGGGAGGATTCTCATTAAGGTGGGGAGGAATACATTAACGCCGATGACGTCATAGGCTATTGTCCTCATCTCATGAATAAAATGCTGTGGTATCTCATTAAATTGCGATGGAATCTCATTAAGTACACTGGTTTGGCCGGTTTATCAATGATGTCATGTTCTATTTTTATCTTGTGGCGGTCATGGTTGATATAACCGGTTTGACAGGTTTTAGTTATTTTCGGAAGATGATGTCGTATGTATTCCGGGGTACTATGATGTCATAGTTGTTTTGATTGGTTGACCGGAATTAGAAAGACGCTCATTGGCTGTCTCGTTTGACGAAGCATTCTGCTTGGTTGCCGTATTTTTTTTATTGTTTGAACGGCATAAAAGCCTGCTCACTTCCAACCGCATACTAATTTGGATTCCCTGCATACTAATTAAGTGCCGTCCTCCATATATAATGAAGTGGATAGGCTTACTAATGAGCGTCACTCTACTACAATAGGAACAATAGGCTTGCCTAGACTTGCCCGGGCTCTTTTAACCCTGATTGTAGAATGTATTCTATCTTCCAAATAAAAGCGCGCTCTCCGTTCAGCATATTACTCTTGCAATCGCTTTGCTAAGGAAACAAGTTCGCTTGCCTAACTAAAAATTCGGTTATAAACAAAACTGAGACGCAAAAAATGGAGCTCAAACTCTTTATTTCAATCTACTTTATCTTGATGTCTTGTTACACGCTCTGTTAACCAGTAGTAATTTGCATCTGACTCATGCC